GTTCTCGAAGGGTGGGTTAGAAAGAGTAGATGGGATAATCTGTTCGAGTAATGTGAATTATCCAGAGGATTCCACCAGCTAAAAACTTTCGAAACAGGCAGTAACGTCGGAGCATCGGGTTAATGCATCGAACTAGGCTTTGCGGAACGTGGAATTGCATTCCGTTGGATCGTGCATCGGAGTTAAATAAAATAGCTACAGTGAAAAGTTTTGCACAGCATCCTATTATTGATAGTCGACCGGAAGTGCGTGTCTTATTGGAACGGAAATGATACAGCGAACAATACATGAAATCATTCCCTTCGATTCGTCCACCAGAATTCACAAGGATGAAAATGATTTGATTATACGATCTTATCGTAATCATTGGTTATTCCGAGAAATTCAAAAGTTTGCAAGAAATTGAAACATTTATTAAAATATATCTCCTTCGACTAATAAAAGTATCAAATCAGATTAATGCCAATTATGTTTTTCTAATTAATTTTTTTTATTTAACTTACTTCCTATTAGCCTAATTATTCTCAAGTTTTCAAGTTATTCTGTCAGAATTGCAAATAATATTTGCTTTTAAATTCTTTAACAAAAAATAGACACGTTGTCTTTTAATTATTATTTTACGATTATTAGTGCACCAGATTTTCGAAAATGCACGCAAGTATTTATAGTTTTAGAACGCAGTTGCAATAAGTTTAAATAAATAATCATAACACCAAACAAAACTAGAGAAAATAAGATCACGATATGAAATTAGAAAATTGGCAGTTGAATAAAAATTTAGTCTGAATATGCAAATTTTATTATCTTTTTATTCCAGGTATTTACCATTTTATTTACCATTATGTCAATTTAACGACAAGGAACAAATTAAGTTGGAAATATGAGAGACGGATAAAGAGTTAAATGAAATAACATTATGTCCCAATTTATATTTTTTTGCTCGATTATTTTTTTTATAATCATCATAACTTGAAGATTATAATATTCGTCGTGACTTGAGAATCGATTTTTTCCCCATACAAAAAACAAAAGTCGGCAATTGTTACGTGATAAATTCAGGATATATTTCATT